TCCTTTTGTGTTTCTACGTCAAGATACTCTGGTGTACCTTCATTCGTGCTCTCTTTTTCTTCTATTACTTCTATTGTTTCAACCGATTCGGTTGGTTCTATCTCAGTTTCAGAAGATATATAGAAAATTTTTAAATTGTTTTGATTCCAAATCATAGAGGTAATAAATTTCGGGCTGTTCTTCTATTATGTTTTCTTCAAACAGCAAATCACGTTGAAGAGAACGGTAAGTAATTTCGGACTCTTTTTGTAATCTTTTTTCACAATCGATAAGCTTCTGGAAATATTCTCGAGTTATCTCTTGGTACAACTTCAACTCAACTTCTTCTTTAATGAAGTCTGATTTATTGTGACAATTTTGAATGTCAAGAAAGACAGTTTCAATATGCTTGTTGTGATTATTGCTGTTCTGTTCCATACTTAGATCATCCATTATTCTTCCGAGCTTTTAAATTTTCCTCATGAAAATGGAAGTTTTTTTTATCTAAGCCGCGGGTTGAGCTTAAACTTTTTTGTTTGTTTTATCTTTTTAATTAAAGAGAAATCCGCTTGGGTTTCAAGAACTTTTTATTTATTTATTCCCATGTTGGATTATTTTGTTTATATGCAACACTTCTTGTATGTGTATGTATTTTTGCGTGAAACTATTTTATATTCTCCGAAGAAATCATAGGAGATATATTGATTTGGTCGCTTGGTTGACCTTGCTGTACCTCGATTCACAGCGGTTGAGTATATACACCCGTCTTACAATTTACTTTAAGGATTTCTTCCTTTCCTTTTTAAATTTGCCTGTTGTTTTATGAATAGTAAGTCTTATTACCTTGGCTAAGCCCTTTATCAAGGCTCGAAGGACCAATTAATAAAATCAATAAAAATTCTAAATGCCTTACCGTTGGTGGGGAACTCGCAACTTGTTGCTACAGAGTATAATAGCTTTGCATATCTCTTATCCCACTGAAGCGATAATAACAAAATTATGATACACTGGCAACAAATGTTTGTAGCATCTCTATCGACGGTGTGAAAATTAGTGAAATCGGATGACAACCCCGCCCACTCCTCATATAACGGTACCGTTAAAAACTACTAAAAGCGCGATAAATCAAGCACTAAACAAGCCAGAGATATTAATGTTTATCTCTGGGATGGTATAAGATTATTTTTATAGGAACCACGTTTGAAATTAGATAGTGGGCGTGGCACCGCCCACTTTTAGGTAATATCTTGGGGTCTGCTCAACCGATTTCAACCAAATTCAGTATATAAAACTCTTCTCATATTTCTATGTTATAGTACGAAAATGGGCGAAATCGGATCACAACCACGCCTATTCCCCATATAACATCATTTTAAATTCCATCTGATTTTTTCACTTTCCAGTATGCAAATAAAGCAACAATGATTATATCGGCGTAAAACTTCGCGTGAATAATACTTATGTTTAAAGTATGACCAAAAATTATCTAAATTGAACCAAAACTTTTCAAGCCCCTAGGTACTGAATATGTGGACCCCAGTGCGTATAGTTGACTTTTTACCGAACAACTTTTTACCGGTCAACATAGAACAAGACGGTAAGATCCACAAAGAACTCTAAAACGAGTATACAATTTGACTTTGCGAGAGTATAAAATGTTCGTTTACAAACGGACTTAGCCCTTCCTTACTTGTTTTATGTTTGTTTTTGTCTATACGAGTATGTACGTTTTGTGCTACCTCAGCATATCAATGATAAGCATGTTCAAAGATATATGAACAACATACATATATATAGAAGTATATTCAAATATTTATTTAGTGTAATTTCAATAACTGAAGGGAGATTTTAGGTTAAATTAAGAGATTGATCCTAATAGGGATCTCACTTGGGCAGCTTAGAATACCGGTCCGTTGTGGTACCTAAAATTCCTATATAATAAAGGGTGATCCATTTCGAGGCTCCCTACTTTTTTAAAGAAAAAAATACAGAAAATTCAAATGTAATGGGGTATGTTTATTATCATTCGAAGAAACATTCTTGAGTATTTATTTTTTGAAGATGATAACGGTTACGTTCTCCCCAGCATCATTTTTGTAGAAATATGGACTCATGATTCCACCGACCGAAAAATCACACCAAACCGTTGTTTTCCTGGATGAAATGGCAACTCTTGAACCTTTTTAGGTTGCTTTTCGTCCCAAATGCGGCAATTTGCTTCGCTGTAGAAAGTTTGGCTCGAAAACGTCAGATCTTCTTGGAACTTTTCAAGAGTACATAGAGCGAAGCGATGTCGCTTGGGAAGCTCGAGTGGCTTCAGTTCTTGCACAAGCTGTATTTTGTATGCTTTCAATTTAAGCTCTCGACGTAAAATGCGCCAAGTCATTCCATACGTCAGTCTGAGTTTCTGCGAGCTGCGCCGGATCGACTCTCCACTGTTTTCGTGTACATTCTCAGCTATGTCCGCTATTTCTTCACTCCGTGCTGGACGTGGTCTATCCGGTCGAATATTATCCAATAATGAATGCTGGGTCTCAAAATGGGTGATGGGGTTGCAAATAGTACGCTCAGTAGATCACTCAGTAGTACGCCCGTTAGACCATAAGACACTTACAAATCGACAAAGCGCATTAGCCTATAACAAATTTATAAAGACGGCTAATGTCAATTCCGGCTATATCTTCTGGTTCGACGACTGTTGAGATATTTCAACGTAATTTTTGCAAAGACTGGACAATGGAAGAAAAAGTGCTTGGATGTTTCCACCTCCTTACAACTTTGACAACTAGCAACAAGATTAGTAGATCTATTGCATTTTACTCTAGGCCAAATGAATCGTCGACCAACGCTTGCTAAACGCACGCGAGGTCCATTCATTGAATGTTAGAACGCAAGACGCTAATGGAGATTCAACTTGGTCCCATTCCGATTTAGGCGGGACACTCTTGCTTCTGGCTAGCTCATCGGCTTCGCAGTTGCCAGCGATTCCACTATCACTAAGCACCCAAACGAGTCTGATGATGCTATTTCTAGTGAAGATAGATAATCCTTGATTAGCTTTGAGTGCACAGTTAGCGAGCTCTGCGCTAGTAATGCCACTCTGCTTTCGGAGTGTATGCTAACCTCCCTGAAAGAGGATGCACTTCGTGCCCCACCTTAAAAGCTGCAACTTTTGGCTGAAAAACATTACAGTGGAGCAGGAGCTTAAAGTTAAAATTTACAGAGAGTTCCGTACAGAAAACTCCCCTTCAATCTACCCTCCTAGCTTTGACCCATCTGGGAAAAAACTCACTGCGGCTCTTTTGCAGCGACTCCTCCCCATCGGCATGTCCCTCGTCGTTATGTGGGCAGAAAAAAAGCCACCACGAGTGGCCTCTGCAACGCAAAGATCCAAGTTTTCTGGAATGCATTTGAAGGAGAAGAAAAATTCGGAGTGTCCTTGCTCGGATCCCTCATATACTCAGCTTCTCTGAACCTTAGAGTGCAGAGAAGACGTATTCATCCCGTATCCACATGAACTTAGAAGAGGTTGCTCTACTAGTGCTGGCGATTCCGTCTTCTACTTCAATCCTACCTTTATTTTCTGTCGGCACATTCATACCGGTTTACACTAGCTTACCACCCCTAGTGGCGGTAAGCCATGTTCCCCCGGTTTCCCCGGTTTTTCACTCTTTTCCGAGGACGGTTTCGTCTATTGAGGTCGGTTTCGAAACTCCTTCTCTCTCGTCCTCTTTTAATTTTTTGCTGTCAACTGACCGTACGTACTCCTAGGCCGCCCAGGGTTTTAACGGGACGAAGGAAGAATTGTTATTAACCCATCAGCAATTTCTGCAACTAATATTCCTAAGCAAGCTCCGTGTTAAGCAATCGGTTAAAAATCCATAGGAGCTTAACCTGCGGCCTACAGCAGGTCATTTAGCGTTACCCAGGATGCACCGAGCGGAGGCGAACCTGCTCTTCATTCTGCCCTAAACTTTATCGCATTTTTTGTTGAGGATTACCCTTTCGATTCTCCTCTCTCGATTTATCAAATATATGTATAGTGTTTTATTCTGATTCACTTACTTTTTAAGTATAGTAAAAAAAGCACAAAGTCGAGCCAAGAGAAAAATCATCGGATTTGCTACCGATTCTTCGATATTTCCATTATATTATATTATAATATTTTCAATATTTCAAGTGTAGATACATATAATTGTATATTAAGGGGATATGTTTACTCGATTACAATGAAAATGATAGAAAACAAAATGTAGGAAAAAAGGTTAATGGATTCATTACGTCTATTGTAAGGTGATATGACTATGTTTGCATTCCATTCCCAATTTTTGAGGTAAGGCATAAACCTAATATAAAGATTTTCAAACATCCGGTTGATATACATATACCAGTCAATATGTAAGGTATCTTAATGAAACTCAGAGAGTATCTGTTTCTAGTAATAGTAAGTTCCGATTTTAAAAATTTGTTAAAATCGGATCAATACTACCCCTTACCCCCATATAATCGATACAAGAATTTTTAACTTTCGGTTGGCTCTATACTATATACATAGGTATATCGGTTAATATGTAAGATATCTTAAGAAAATTAAGCTAGCTTATATCATTGGATATAATGTATTGTAATTTAATATCGAAAATATGTAAAACTCGGTCCCCGAATTACAAGATGGTACGGAAAGGCTGCAGAAGTTTCAGTGTAAAAATTGAACAACGGAAGTGGCCTCGTCCACTTTTAGGGGAAATTTAATATCTCGGTGCGTCAATACAACTCAAAGACCCCTTATGCCTCATATAAAAATTTTATTTACACTGAAAATTTGAAATTGGTGGCAACGCTTTAGTTTTTTTTCGCAAAACAAGTCGATAAGTTAAGCTTTATTAAATTTTCTGTTTATATAAATCAGTTTGAATTTAGATATGGTTATATATATAGGTATATTACAATCGAAACTATTAGTTATAAGTAATTTCTTACATGTGTGAATAGCAAATAAATACTATTTTTATTTTTTACAGGCTTCATTTTACTCAACAGCGTTAAAAACGTTAATATCTGTTTCGACTGTGATTCTTTTAGGTCTTATTATAGCTTACCATGCTTTGGAAGTGCAGGTGAGAGTGAGTGCAAATTTAAATTCCTTTTCAGATGTTACAATCAGCGTTCTCAGCATCATTGTCCTCGTAGTTATGTAATTCATGCATGCAAAACTGATGTTTTAGCACATATGGCATACATATTATTGTTTGTCACCGCTTGCACTAATTTATTTTTTAATTATTCAATAAAAAAAAATATACGTATAGTATATATATATCGTATATAGGATGATATAATATGATGAAGCTTCAACGTTTGTTCGTGATGGATACACCATTTTATATTCTTAACCAAAAATTAAATAAAAAAGAACTGGGGAAGATAAGTTGTACAATATATATTTCCGAAAGCGGAACGGTAGCATTAAGCAAATAATTCACTCTACTATGTTCGCTGCCGTTCCATAATGAGTATTTATAATTTATTATTCGTTCTACTAAGTCTCCTAAAAGATTTGTGTCGCTAAATGTCCCATAGATATAAAAACCAATTTGTGTGCTCTAAAACTACGGAAAATCTGAAATATGATTTCATTTAAAAATATAGTGCTTTCTTTATCTTTTTATTACGTTTGATATTACATGCATAGATAATACGAAGCTTTGATGTAAGGGAGCGCTGGTAAAATGGGCTTTTCTTAAAGCATTTCACAGTATGCCGCTACGAAAGAATAAGTTTTTACGTTATTATTGTATTTCGTGGGCATTTTTCTGTTTCCATTCCACTGCTAAGTTATACATAATCAACATTAGTTTTAAAAGCTTATCAACAGCCAAAAGACAACAGGTTTACATCATATTATCCATGACTTCATGATTAAAACAAAACTATAAATACAAAAACAATATGTCCAACTCTTTCTGCTCAATTTACTTCTGAACTAGATATGTTCGAATTCATTAATTGTTTATTCAAAGATGTTTACTTGATATAAATTACATTTTCCAGCTTTTGTCGGTAGTTATTGTCAAAGAAATTATTTAACCAAACCAAACTGACTTTAACTATTCATATTAATCGAAATAAACCCATTTAAATAATTAAAGTGGATAGCTATAGTCTTATGATCTGCCAATATTACTTCTGCAGCGGCGATAGCTTTCTCGAAAATTTGAATTACTACACCTCCATAACTATATCCTATGTATATAGAATAACCAATTTCCCTTTCGACGATGAGCTCATGGACGAACGTAGTCCCAAGCCAACACAAATTTTTGATAATGTCCTAAATGCATTATTTTATTAAATTTAATTTCTCTCTCTTTCTCAATTATAACTGCACACCGACTTTCTGTAATGTGGAATTTGTCAGTTAGTGAATAGTGACGTTAAGAGTATTATTCGCAACTGGTCATCATATTATGATTTTAGTTCATTAAAGTTCTTGTCTTGTTTATCCATTTGGAAATTTCTGAAAAGTATTTATCATCGAACGGAAATATCTTATATCTTGCTCAGTGAATACTAGAGATACCCAAAATAATATAATATTATCAATTTTCGTATTTGCACGAATTAAACTAAGTTTCCAAATAAATTTATTTATTTATGGAACGTTCAAAGATATTTATTTTATACAGGAAATCATAACCAAACAACATTAATTTTATATTAATAATAATTTATATGCATATATATATGTGTTTTCAACGTTGGTTAAAATATTGGCTGTTGAGTTTGCACCATTTAAACCTGCTTACTATATATAGTTATATAATATTATATGTATGCTATACTTACATATGTATATGTAATGCAGTTACTTGTTTCTTCAATAACTTTTAAATATTACGCTTGTCCTTGGAAAATTAACTGTAATATTTCAGTGATATATTAGATTCTAATTTTTACTAGAAGTAGCATATTTATCATGCAATAGTATTGTAGTCCATCGAACATAGTTATAGACCCAATATTTTGGCTAAATTTAGGACAATATTTTGTAGTATTTCTTTTAACTTATCTGACGGATTTTTTACTCTGTCGAAAGTACTCAGTAAGCATTCTTCGTAGTTCTGTATTCTTAAACACATTCAATAAGAAAACTTGTGTTTGGAAATGTTTCGCAATTTATATTGCCTTTAATCAAAACTCTTTCAAAAATTTTATTTGTGTATATGAACCAATATTTGTAGTCCGAGTATATTAAGTTTACCACGAAGTTTGTAACACCCAGAAGGAAACGTTGGAAACCCTATAAAATATATACATAAATGATCAGCATGATGAGTTGAGTTTATTTAGCTATGTTCGTCTGTCTGTCTGTCTGTCTGTATATATACAAACTAGTCTCTCAGTTTTTAAGCTATTGATCTGAAATTTTGCACCAGTCTTTTTCTCACTAAGATGCTGCTCAAAAAGATAGATGCCATACAAACTGAACAGTCGGAATCAAATACTTGTATGGGAAACTTTTTTTATTTGACGAGGTATCCAATCTCCGAAGAAAATGTACAGATCGAATGACTATAGCATATATCTGCCATGCAAACTGAACGATCGGAATCAATGGCTTGTATGGAAAACTCTTTCATTTGACGAGCTATGTTCACGAAATTTGGCATGAGTTATCTTCTAAGGCAGACTTTTTCAACCTGTTTTTGTCACCGGCACACTTTTAGTTTCAGTAAACTTTCACGGCACACCAATAAAAAATTCGGTAGGCGTAGGTATAAGGCCACTAGCCTTGATTCATGTTATGCTACCGAATTAGGTTAAGCCTGTCAAGTTAATGTACTGAGATAAATAGATAAAATGTTTTCGAGAAAATAAAGTTTTAATTATATTATTATTAATTACATTAATAAGTTTTAAATAACATGATATAATCAATTAATGCGATATTTGAGCCTGGCGTGTGGAGCAAAGGCTTTTTATTCTTGGGCGAATTGTCGCCAAACATACTCGAAGCTCTTCTTCAACAGATAGCAGACGTTCGCGATTTTTACTTTTTATATTTGTCAATGCTGAAAACCCTTGTTCGCATAGGTAAGATGTCGGAAACGGCAAAAGGGCAATGAGAGCTTTTTTACTTACGTCTGGATATTCTGCTGAAACGTGTAACCAGAACTTATTTACATTCAACTCCTGTAATTTTAATAGCAAAGTGCGGTCATTTTTTAACTCACAAAACTGTTCTTTTTCTTCCAATTCAAAACCAACCAAGCTACTGAGTGAAACATTGAACAGGTCTCTCACCCAATCAAAATTTTCAACCTCTATGTGGGGAAAGTATTTGTTTATATTTTTTTCTAACAATTATAATGAATCCATTATCAATGATCTCATTCTAGAATCCACATTTCTTGACGCTGTATGCGGGAACATGGACAGAGCGCCCTGACAAATATGATTTTTCCATAGCGTTAATTTTTCTGCGAAACCTTTTATTTTATCAGATGACGTCAGAATATTCTTATTTCGTCCCTGCATACCTGCATTTAATTTGTTAAGATGTTCGAATAAATCTGCCAAGTACGCCAATTTTGTGCACCATGTATCGTCGCTGAATAAATTAACAAACTCTGATGACTCCAATGTGAAGGGAATTAATAACTCTTCCTTAAGTTCATACACGCGGGACAAAATACGTCCTCTTGAGAGCCATCTTACCTCGGTGTGAAGAAGCAACGTGTAGTGGGCTGCATCCATGTCTTGGCAAATTTATTTAAATAATCTAGATTTCAACGGCCGACTCTTAATGAAATTTATAACCCTTACTACATCTTCCAAAATAGTTTTGAAATCATTCGGTAGAGTTTTTGATACCAATGCTTCCCTATGAATAAAGCAGTGGGTCAGTACAATATTTGGATTTCTTTCTTGCACCAAAGTAACAAACCCTTTTACAGAACCAGTCATTGAAGGTGCTCCGTCGGTACATATTCGAATACAATCGGTCCATGATAAATCAGAGGATTTCAAATATCATCCAAAATATTAAATATGTCTTCGCCTCTTGTTGTTTCGGGCAGTTCTTTGCAACAAAAAAAGTTTTCAATAAAGTCATCTTCAACGACCGTACGTATAAATGCCAGCAGCTGGGCCTTTCCACTTATGTCAGTTGATTCATCAACTTGTAAGGCGAATGTACGAACAATTCGTAGTTTTTCTATTGTGCTTCAATATCTTTTGACATGTGTTCTATGCGCCTGCTGATGGTGTTATCTGACAGAGGAATATTCAACACCTCCTTTTCAGCTTCAACCCCAAATAAAGTCTTCACAATCTGACGACAAGCTGACAAAACTAAATTTTCTGCTATAGTATGTGGTTTAATTTTTTTTGCTATAAGCTCCGCCACGTGATAGCTTGCCTCTTGACACTTGTCAGATATAGTCATTGTCTTGGTAAGACTTGTACATTGCTGGGCTTGAGATTTCAGCAAACGTTGAAAGTACTGTAAGTCCTTGTCCAAGAGATGAGAATGTTTTGTAGAGAGGTGTCTCTTTAATTTGCTAGGGACCATTGCTTCATTGGATAATTTTTGGCCGCAAACAAGACAAGAAGGGTTTGGTTCGTCTTTGTCTCCTGTCCAAGTAAACCCCAACTTTAAATAGTCTTCATCGTATTGCCGTTTAGTATTCATAACTTTTTGTTTTTTAACGACGGGTTGACTCGATGACGGTTGATCATCAGTTGACGTATGGGTTACGAATTTATCCATGTTGAAGGTCTCGTTAGAACCCAAATATACACACACTAAACACAGCGAGTTTGATATAATGCAGCGAGACCAACAAAGAACAAGTGACACGAGTACAAGACTGCGCGAAAGCACGACAAGTGGATGAATGAATGAAACAAAACAAGGACAAGCAGCGGCCGGCCGGCGGACGCCGCTTCACCCGCCCGCGCCCTTCCGTATCGTTCGCTCTGTTACTCAAGCTCTACGCGTCTTATGTTTTTCGAAATATTTTTTTATGACTGCAATTAAGCATCGTCGCGGCACACTTGAAAAATTACGCGGCACACCGGTTGAAAAAGCCTGTTCTAAGGCAACAATGTAATC